GATCTGTGATCTGGACACAGGTTTCCTGCCTTGGAATTAGACAGTATTCTCTTTACAATATGAAGAAGCCTATATGTGCTTGAGGTTTAAAAAGGTCCCCTTCCCTGGAAAAAAAACCAAACAAACAAATATGAAAAAAAACTTCATTTTTTGAGAGTTACTTTTACACTATTTCAAAACTACACTGGAAACTTTTGAAGAGACTAGGTTATGGACTGACATTTCATAAAGACCCCTCATCATTATTTATGGTATCTATAAACAAACGTCTTACTTTCCAGAGGAAATGGGCTTCATAGGACTAAGTCCAAAGCAAAAGTACCAATTTTGGAAGGGTAAATTAAATACTCAGAATGAGTTACTAAAATAAAGAAACTGAAATAAACAATCAACAACTAATTAAGGGCTCTAAGTGGCATCTGAAAATTCTAGGAGCCACACAAGGCAGCTGCTTCTACAGTCAGTATTTATCCAAAATTATTACCTGAGCATCCTGTGTGACATGCTGGAGACACACCAGAAACCAGGGGGTTTGAAGACACTGGAGCATCTAATATTCTCAAAGCAACTAAATGTATCTCCCAAAAGTTAGAGAAGGATGCATAACGCATTAGACTAGCAGCCTGCTCCCACTAAAGAATAAACAGACAAAATATTAATAACTCATATAATCATTATTGGACTCCTCGTGTGGTGGCACTGTAGGGTCAGCACAGGACTGTGAACGACAAGTTCAGAAGTTCAAACCCACCAGCTGGTCCCTGGAAACTCTATACAGGGTCGCTATGGGTTGGAAGCAACTCGATTTAAATCTTCTGGCAATTCCATTATAAAAAGCAAAAGAGGCTGTGTGAATCAAATGGGATCACTTACTCTCTTCTTGTGTGACTTTCAAACTCCAAGAAGACCAAAGTTGCTACTATTATTATTTTAACTTTTTATTGTGAATTGGAGACCACAATTAATTTGAGAACTCCAGGAAACAAAGTGTAATACTACCTGATATGAGGTGGTAATCTTATACTTTCACAAAAGAAAAGAAGAGAGTGCATTATAGAGCACTTAATAAACACAAGATGTGTTTGGCAGAGGCAAACATGGACCAAGCTCTTGGACATCACAGAGCTGCACACTGTGAAATGCATAAATCATCAGTGTAGCACACACGGTCACAGCTGGCTCTGTCAGCTCTTCATGGACAGCCCATACATTGTCCATCTTAAAACCTAGGATGCTTGAGGTCAAATCATGGAAAAATCTTTCCCGTGGGAATCCTCTGGGCTTAATTTGAACCCACTTGATATTTTTTAGTGAAGTAGAGAAAAGTTTAATTGTAGGGTTTTCTGTTTTGTTTTTAGATAGACAAGTAGTTTCAAGGTAACATCTGCCTGCTACCCACATTCAGAACTTACTAGTATTTTGACTTTGTAGCCTGGACCTACTGTAGTCAGGCTCTGCTGAGGGTCATGAGGGATCTGGTCTGGCTGGGTTCCTGGACCAAACCTGTTGCCTTTGAGTCAATTCCAACTCATGGGGAACCCATGTGTTTCAGGGAAGAACTGTGCTCCTGAGCACCTGCTTGACTGAAAACACATCACTAAGCCTTCTGAGGAATTGCTGGGTAAATTCAAACTGCCAACCTTTGGTTTACTGTGTTTTCTGCACTTAACATGCCCACTCACATAACGTGTATTGTTGTCATTAAGTGCCTTCGAGTCGGTTCCGAGCCATGATGACCCTATATAGGGTTTCTGAGGAGCGGCTGGTGAGCAGGAACCACTGACCTTGTGGTTCAAACCAACTTTGCAGTCCAGCACACACCAGGACCCATAATGTGTATGTTAAGTACCATGGAGTCGGTTCCTACTCATAGTGACCCTGCACAGGGTTTCTGAGGCTGCAAATCTTTATGGGAGCAGAAAGCCTCATCTTTCTCCCATGGAACAGCTGGTAGTTTTGAACTGCCGACCTTGAGGTTAGCAGCCAGATTCGTAACCACTGTGCTACCAGAGCTCCTTTTAGCACAAATAAACTAACATGTGAGAAGGATGTGTGGTTCACCCGCCCCCAACAAAACATACATGGTATTTGGGGAAAACTATGACAGTTGTTGTAGTTGTTAGGTGCCATCAAGTCGGTATTGACTTATCGTGACCCTCTGCACAACTGAACGAAACACTGCCTGGTCCTGGGCCAACCTCACAATTGTTGACATGCTTGAGTCCACTGATGCTGCCATTTCGCCAATCCATCTCACTGGGGCATCTTCCTCTTTTTCTCTGACCCTCTACCTTACCAAACATGATGTCCTTCTCCAGTGACTGGTCCCTCCTGACAATATGTCCGAAGTATGAGACACGAAGTTTGGCAGAGAAAAGACTGAAGTTGTCAAGGACTTCATTCTTCTTGGATCAACTATCCACACTCACAGAAGCAGCAGTCAAGAAATCAAATGAGGTACTGCATTAGGCAAATCTGCTGCACAAGACCTTTTGAAAGTGTTGAAGAGCAAAGATGTCAGCTTTAGACTAAGGTGTGCCTGACCCAAGCCATGGTATTTTCAATAACCTCATATGCATGTGAAAGCTGGACAGTGAATAAGGAAGACCATAGAAAGATCGATGCTTTTGAGTTATGGTGCTAAAACTATGACAGTAACCCACTGCAAACCATCTGTGCCCCAGGGACTTGACAGAAATGGTAGCTTTCTAAGGTTCAGCCCAACCTAACTTTATTCCCAAAGATGTTCCTCCTGGCCAAGTCCACTCATTTTTCTAGAAAAAGTGCAAACCATATTTTACATGAACGCTCTCAATAACACTAAGCTGCAGTTAATCATTCTTTAAATCAAAACTAAATCCCCCTCTGCAAAAAATACCCATTAAATCCACCTGCTTCTTGACACCAGTGTAATAGCGTGTTTAACAATCTGATTACAGGAAATCGAATCAGTTCACCAGAATCCCACCATCTTCTGAAACCTAAATCCACTCCATTTCCAAAGTCTTTCATGGCTGTTTTCCATACAACCTTAAAATCTAAGAGGTCTGTGGCCAAACTATGGTCACAGATTATGACAGCAGAATTACAAAACTCTCTCAGTGGGCATTTATATGTTGTTGTTGTGAAGTGCCATCAAGTCGGTTCCAACCCATAGTGATCCCTATATAGGGTTTCTGAGGAACAGCTGGTGAGCTTGCCGTTCAAACGGCTTTATAGTCTGATGCATTAACCCACAGTGCTGCACCAGGACTCTGGGGATTTATAGAGTACTGCCTTAAAAACTTACTCCTCCAGCATAGTTACGAGGAAGGGAAGAGGCCTTGGGTGAACACATGGGCAGGCGGGGCTGCAGTTTCCCAACAGGCGCTGAGGGGCATTCCCCAGGTAGCTTCTGTGGGGCAAACCCTTGGGTGGGTCCCACATTGTCACTTATAAATGTTTATCAGCCCTATGAAAATAAACAATAAGCCATTCCACACCTAATATTTCTGCCAGGCTCTGCCTACTTCCCAGAAGTTAATAATAATAAAAACAACAACAACCAAGAAATCAGCCCTCTGGGCATATCTCACCCTAAGCACACACCAGAAATGTCCTGGTCCAAGGCCATTTGTCACAAGTCACTCCTCACAGACTCCAATTCATAGATGAACCTCAGTCAGGTACAACCACTCTTAACTCATCCTGTGCCTTTTATCTCAAAATCCATATCATTCCCTTCCAAATCAGGGTGAGGCAAGGGTAGTTGCCAAGGTGAAAAATTTAAGGAGGCACCACTCTCAGGGGCTGATCTTGTACTTACAGGACCCAGAGAGTGAATATCTTCTTCCTTCCAAGTGAGGCACCTGAGAGTTAGTACCTCCGTGTACTTTGCACCCTGACTATCTAACTTCACCACGGTCCTGGCCCTGACGCCCCTTCTCTAGGCTCTTGGCACCTTAGTAACTGTTTGAGGAACAATGCTCAGCCTGATTCTCATCAACCTACTTGGAGTCCTGTATGATACAGACCACAGATTCTGGGTCTTGAGCTTGCTAAATTCCTGACAAGTTGTGTGATGTTAGGCTGGTTCCACATCCTCTCTGGACCTCTAATTTCTTCCCAGCAATTGAAGATCATTTCCACTCAACTTACAAGACTGTAAAGAGGATTATCTGAGATTGGGCAAGTGGCATGTTTAGCATGGTGCTTGGCATACATGCATGCCCATGACCAATGCCTATTCAGTCAATAGGAGACTCTTCGTTATCATTGCTAATGAAGCTGGTGACATCCTGATTTTCACTGTAGGGACAGATATGAGACCTAGGACATTGTTGTTGAGTGCTGTTGAATCGATTTTGACCCATAGCAACCCTGTATAGGGTTTCCAAGGAGCAGCTGATGAGTTTGAACCACCGACCCTACAGTTCAAATGCCTTTGCAGTCTGATGCATTAGCCCACAGCGCCACACCAGGACTCTAGGATATAATCTCCCAATATCTTGATTAAAAACAGCTTAGCATCCTGAACCAGGATGAGCAGCATCTCATTCCATTTTATCTGGGATGGCCATGAGTTGGTGCCAGCTCAATGCTGTTGTTGTTGGTAAGTGCCATCGAGTTGATCCCAACTCACAATGAACATGTATAGGGTTTTCGAAAAGCAGCTGGTGAATTTGAACTGCCCGCCTTTAGGTTTAAAACCAACCTTGTGGTCCAGTGCATTACCCCACAACGCCACACCAGGACTCCAACAGGAGCTAACGATAACAACTGTACCCTGAATGGGAGATCCTGCCTGTTCTTTATCATGTTGGAAAGAAACCTCCTGCCAGGCAGTAACCAATGGGCCCATCACACTGCTTAGCAACCCACCCCCTGAAACTCTGAGAGGGTGCAAAGTCCATGTTTTCCAGAAGCCACAATACAAAATAGGAAGGAAAGCTCCCGCTAAGCCGGTTAGCCAGAAGGAACGTGCTGAAGGCGGAGGGAAAGGAAAGTGGTGCGTTACTTACTGCTTTCATTTTGTGGGTGCTGGACCAAGACTTGGAACCTCAGCCGGAGGATCCCTGGATTCTGGGCATCTTGGTCACAGCCCTGCAGGGAGAGGTTGAAGTTCCCAGCCATGTTCCCAGGTTGGGGGTCCTCCAGCTTAAACACCTCAGGATTGGTGGTGGAGCCCGGGATGTAGTATTCAACCCGCTCCTCCTTCTTCACACAGTTGGAGACGTTGACAGTGAGGAAGGAGACGCTGGCCCGCAGGTGCGCGGGGATGACAAACTGCCATGTCATGAGCTCGTCTTCAGGGAAACCACCTGGGTAGTTGGCAGACATCAGGACTGCCGAGCCTTCACCGTTAAACACAGACTCAATGATGCACAGTCCTAATGGGAACAAAACAAACCAGAAAGAACAAAAGGCGATTAGACCTTGCCCTGGTCACTCATGGTTGAGAGGTGGGCGTGAGAAAAAAGATCATGGTGATTCTCATATCCTTTCCACAGAAGAATGGAATCTTTCTTCTTTAATGGATTTAAGTAAAATCATGGCATGGCATGTTTATATCCAAAACACAAGTTGGTAATGAGAATATATCTGTGGTGTATGAGTAACTGTTTAATAACCTCATTGAAATAAAACGAACCCTGCCCTGTAGCATCTCTCAACTTCAACACGCTGATTCCAAGTTACCCACATGGCATGAATGGATGTGGAGTAGGGGAGAGATGTATAGTAACACATCATTACATCTCTACCCCACAGATGGATCCTGGTGTGACAATGTGGGATAATGCACTGAACCGCAAGGTCGGTGGCTCAAATTCACCAGCCACTCCATGGAAACTCTATACGGGGTTGCTATGAGTCGGAACCGACTCGAAGGCCCTTAACAACAACAACCAGCCCACAGATATAGTAGATCGAAATAACCTTAAGAATCATGCTGTTAGAAGATCGGCAGACAGGGAAACGAGAGGACTGGAAACAGAACCACCAGGATGTGAACAGAACATTGACATATTATGAAAAGAGTACCTAATGTCACAATGAGTCGAAATTGTCAAATGGGAACCTAATCTTCTGTGTAAGCAGTTTCCACTGATCAAGAACGTAATAAAATAGTGTATAAAGAAAACAAACAAACAAAAAAAGCAGCATGTTGTTGTTGTTAGGTGTTGTCAAGTTGATTTTTGACTCATAGAGACCTCATGTGACAAGAGTAGAACAACCTCTTCGTGTTTCCTAGGCTCTAATCTTTAAGGAGTCCTGGTGCGGCACTGAGGGTTAATGCACTGGGCTGCAAGTTGGTTTGAACCACAAAGTTGGAAGTTCAAGCTCACCAGCTGCTCCTTGGAAGCCCTACACAGGGTTGCTATGAGTCAGAACCAACATGAAGGCATTTAACAACAACAACCATATTTAAGGAAGGAGATCTACAAGTCCTTTCTTCTGCGGAGCTGCTGCATGAGTTCCAATGGCAAACTCTTCAGTTAGCAGTAGGGCAGTGAATAAGGAAGACCTTAGAAGAATGAATGCATTTCAATTACGGTGTTGGCATAGAATGTTGGAAGTATCACAGACTACCAGAAGAGCAAACAAAAGTGTCTCGAAGGAAGTACAGCCAGAATGCTCCTTAGAAGTGACTATTGTGAGACTTCATCTCTTGCATTTTGGACACATTATCAGGAGGGACCAGACTCTGCAGGACATCATGCTTGGAAAAATGGAGGGTCAGCGAAAAAGAAGACTACCAATTACATGGACTGACACAGTGGCAACAACAATGGGCTCACACATAACAGCAATTGTGAGGATGGCGCAGGACCAAGCAGTGTTTAGCTCTGTTGTACGTAGGGGTCACTGTAAGTTGGAATGGACTCGATGGTGCCTAACAACAGTTAGCAGATAACTCAGTTAATCATCAGGACTCCTTTCACAAAGCAGAGATAGCAGAAAGATAACTAGGACATGAGGAGTTCTGAGTAGTTATCACCTCTGCTTTTAATATCATTTATTCAATAATTATTTTATTCTTAATAATGGCTCTAGTTAACATCAGCTCGAAAAATTCCTGAGCATCTAGAAATCATTTCTCATGACTGGGTGTGAGGGACTCTGAAGGTGTTGATGGACTCTGGCCCACCACTGATACAGATATAGAAAATGTGTAAGACACAGAACAGGAAAAAGGAATTAGAAATGGTGCACTCGAGGTGGGTCTGTAAAACCAGTTTCATTTTATTCTTTGCAAACAAAGCTCACATGCACTTAGAACAAAGAAAGAGTGGCAACCCCATGTGTAACAGAAGGGAATATGCACTAGGAATGAGTAAGCCACATCTCTTACTGATGTGATTGTTAAGGTATTCTGGTAGTGAAGGTTTTGTGTCAATTTGACAAAGGCAGGATTCTCAGTGGTTTGGCAGTTAAGATGTAGAAACCTCTATGATTAAATCTGCTATGAACAGCTAATCAGTTGAAGGTTTCCTCTGGGATGTGGTCTGCTTCCAGTATAATGAACACTTGGGCAAAGCTCTGGATCCTGCATCTGACTCGTCATCCAACCTCTGGTTCTTTGGACTTGAGCCAGTGGCCTGCTCCATTGCCTATTGATCCTGGGAGTTATTAGCACACTGCCATCTTACCTGCCTGTCATCTGACCTGCTGATCTTGAGGTCATTAACCCTGCAACTATATGAGTTAGGTGCCTTCAATCTGACATCTGATCCATGGAGTTGGAATGTGCCCACCTCTCCACTATGTAAGCCATTTCCCTGATACAAACCTCTTGTTATATGTACAGATATAAGCTTCATTGGTTCTGCTTCTTTAGAGCACCAGCCTAAGGCAAATATTTAAGTATTGCTGCCATGCTACCACTTTTGACCTAGAACAATGGAAGTGCTGTATGACTCAGCCCAATCCAACAGCAGGGAGGGAAACGGCATGCTCACGTTTTATAGATGACCGGTTTGCAATGCTGAAACCAGAGACATTTCTTTTGTCTGTCCATGGTAGATGTAAAGTCATTTTCACTCCCTCCTGCAGTTTGATCCGTGATACCGTGCCATTGCTGCAGAAGGTTCCAATCCTGACCACGGTGGCATCGATGTGGCCACTGATGGAGTAGGTGGCTCCATGCAGACAGTTCTCGCCTGGTCCGATCTGCCTCAGGTAGGGAGTGGAAAACTGCAGCTCTAGACTGATGTTCTTACGAGCTCTGACATCCCAGATGAAAGTTCTGTTGAGGGCAGGCAATGAGGATGTTGAGGGCTGGAGTGGAACCTCCCCAAAAGGACACGGGCCTGATATACAGTCTGAAACACAATCACAAAAGCAACTATGATCATAAATGCTAAAAGGTCATGGGCCCCATGTTTCCCCCTCAGCCCCCTGTTGTTAAGTGCCGCTGAGTTGGTTCTGACTCATAGCAACCCTGCATAGTGTTTCTGAGGTGCAGCTGGTAAGTTTGAACCACCAACTTTGCGGTTCAAACCAACTTATAGTCTAGTATTTATCTTACAGCACCACACCAGGACGTCTATAGGAGATACTTTACCTGTTATTGTTGTTGTTAAGTGCCGTCGAGTCGATTCTGGCCCATAGCGACCCTGTATAGGGTTTCCGAGGAGCAGCTGGTGAGCTTGTGCAGTTCACATGACTTTGCAGTCTGACACATTAACCCACAGCACCCTCCCAGTTGTTGCTGTTGTAAAGTGCCATCGAGTTGGTTCTGACCCATAGCGACCCTCTAGAGGGTTTCCAAGGAGTGACTGGTGAGCTTGAGCGTCCAACTTTGCAGTTCAAATTAATTGTGCAGTCTAGAGCGCATTAACCCATACTGCCACACCAGTGGGCCCCCCCTATATCCCAGCTTCCATGAGTATTGGTGGCCAATGGCTGATAGATACACCCTTCTTGGGGAAGTGCCTCCATTCAGGCGGAGCTGCCCTGGTTCAGAAAATCCTAGAAGGTTCACCATCTCCTCATCTCCATCCCTAGGGATAGCCTATAGTCAGGAACTAACTTAGGAGTGAAAAAGTCTACCTTATTTGCTTCAAGTGATATAACCTAGTGATGCCATATATATTCCAGAGCTCCCCAAGGGATCAGGCTGTGGTAAATCACCCAATATCACAGTTTTGTTTTGCCATTTTGCTCTGTTCTGCTCACCTCCTTCTGCTAAGGGCATTTTTTGAATAAATGACTTACACGAGAATCCTTGTCTCCAGCTCTGAGAGAACCTGACCTTAGACACCTCCTAACTACTGTGTTTTCCATATTAAACTGCTAGAATCCAGCTAGGAGGCTTCTCATCAGATCTTTCTGGTAACCAGAGGAAGACCCTTTGCAATGGAGAGTCCATGCTCTAGAATATTCTACTTCCTGTACTCTGTGTCACTGTTTCACAATTTTTAGGGCATAGTGCCAAGATCCACCTTCTAACACTAGTCTCCCCACAAAACACACTTCAACACAGAGTGCTCTCTGAATGTACAGTCCCACTGATGCCTAGAGTTGAGTGGTACAGTTGTCTTTCTGCCTCTGGGCTTTAATGCTAACATTTTATTACCCCTGCAGTTGTGTTTTCTCTTTTTAAGGCTAGCGGTTAATGACATCTTTGATGTGCTTTGTTTCCTGAGTCTTTCAAAACAAAGAGAGAAATGCCAGGAAAGTAAGATGAGGAAAGTATGTGGAAGAGGTTAACAGAAAGCTGGCAACTAATGCCAAAGGTTTTTGTTGTCCGAAACAGTAAATCTGAGTGTCCACAGATTCTGGTCACTGTAATAATAATCTGGTGGATCTTTATTATTGCTCAATTGGGGTGTTTTCATATTGCCAACCTGAAAGGGATCATGGGAGGATTTTAGAGACACACAGGACCTCTGAGCTCATTCATGCTCAACATCTCTCTCTCTCTCTTTTGTGTGAAGTTGAAAAAAATTATTTGATTTGTAAAATAAGGTACTGATCTTTACAATGTAATTAAGCATATTATTACTGAACATTAAAATTTTACCGTAATGTCACTAAAATAGTCTATAGTAGAAATAATGGATTACAGACATATTTTTTAAAATTGTGATAATATATTGGCAGCAAAACATTTGCCGTCTCAACAATTGAAATCGATGCCATTTTTGCAAAATAGCTTTGGAATCTGCAATGCCAAGATATGCAGCAGACGACAACCTGGGGCAAAACCTCACCTGTGTTTGGTCAACCTGTGTTCTCACCAACGCACTGTACTGCCTACCCTATAAAACCAGGTTAGATAATGTGGGGACTAATGTGGCTTTGGGATCATGAATACAGTAACTCACGATTTTTAGCAACTCATGGAAACTTGGTTAGTTCTATCAAATCAGCTCTCTCCTCCTGGCCTCAAGGAGCCTTCTATCCACACCTCAAATGTGCCCAGAGTGCTGCTGATTGGTCCTTGCTGGGGTTTATGCTCAAGAGGAATAATGTGGTGACCCTATAAAAGCAGTCCTAGTTTCATACGGGAATTAGCTGGAAGACGGTTAAAATATAAGCATGCCTGTACCCATTCCCTAAAGATTTTGACTAATTCCATACCAAGGACCCGGAATCAGAAAGCCCTGATTGCCATTCCTGCCTCTGCCCACAGCCTGTGACACTGGGAAATCCACTTTCCATTTGTTGCTAAGAGCCTTGATTGGTGGGATGGGAATACCGATAGGTGGAATCAAAATGCTGGCACACCTCCACGTCTCCGGTCCAGTATGAAAACTTTAAATAACTAAAGAGAAAGTCATTCCCTATAGCCAGCCTCCTAAACTATAAGAAAATAAATTTGTTTGTTAAAGGCCCCACTGATGACATTTCTGTTATAACAGCACTAGATAACTAAGTCAGAGGTTGAATACCTTAAGCACCAGCCAATTCCACTGGATTCTTAAGTAGACCAACATCAACCTCAGTTCTGTAAAAGCTTCACCAGGATTTCAATTGTAATTTAATTAAATTGATAATATTAATTTAGGGGGAGTTGACACTTTAACATGATTGCATTTTTCTCCAAGGAACATAGAATACCTTTCCATTTATTTAAGTCTCTTTTGTTTTTTAGTAAAATTTTATATTTTACTTCATATATATTTTACATATGCATTCCATTTCATTTTTGGTGACTTCCAATTTTTTTCCTAGACTCCTCTCTTATATATTCCATGTTTTGATTATCAATGAGTGGTTTTTGCTATTTCTTTTCTTTTTGAGTTGTGCCTCACCACCACCAAGAAGAAGAGCTGGAGAGTGTCCTTTGGACAAAGGATCCCTGTGCTGGAAGCCTTCTAGACCCAGGAAACAGAGAAAGAGAGAGAGAGAACGAACTTTTAACACTAGAGATGGCACTAGCTAGCAAGAGCGGTAGCCAAGAAATGGCAGCAGCGCAGGCCGTGAAGTCAGGAGACTGTGAGGAGATGAAGGAGTGGGTGTGCTGATCCATGGAGAGAGGGAGCTGAGCACCTTTGAGCAGAAAGCCTGCTGGTGGAGTGGGGTGCCTCCAGGAACTTGACAGCGGAGATAGGATCACTGAGCAATGGAGCACAAGAGAGCTGAGCACTGTCAGGACGAGGCCTCTGGGCATTTAGCAACAAGAGTTAAATTGCTATGCACAAAAGCCAGAGCAGGGGGACCAGAGAGAGGCCTGCTTGTGGTACAGTTGAATGGAGGTTATCCTGATTGAAGAATGTATCCCAAGTCTTCCCCAATCCTGAGTTGTAACCTATTACATCCCTAATAAACTCCAAAACAGTGAACATGGCTGGTGAGCCAATGCAACCAATTACTGAACTCAGCAGAGGAACAGAGAGAGCCGGGTTGGTTATCAGATTGGTAAAAAGTTTGGAGACTTCATATGAGTCAGCCTTGGGCTGTTGATCTCGATGGTTTACTATATTAAGAATGACAAGTTGAAAAGGCATGAGGCTGCACTGATTATTCCAAAGAACATTTCAAGATCTACCCTGAAGCACACTGCTGTCAGTGAGAGGACAATATCCAGATGCCTACAAGAAAGACGATGATTCAACTTTACCCACCAATCACTAATGTCAAAGATGAAAAAATTGGAAGATTTTTGCCAACTTCTACAGTCTAAAATTGATCAAACATGTAATAAAGATGCAATGTTAACTACTGGTGATTGGAATCCAAAAGCTAGAAACAAAAAGGATCAGCCAGAAAATATGGTTTTTATGACAGAAATGATGCCACACAGAACATGATAAAATTTTGCAAGACCAATGACTCATTCATTGCACATAGCTTTTTTCAGCAACATAAACAGCAACTATACATGGGATCTCACTGGAATGGAAAACACAGGACTGAAATCTACTACATCTGTAAAAAGATACAATGGAGAAGCATAATGTCATTATATAGAACAAGCCCAGGGGGTGGCTGCAGAATAGACCATTAGTTACTCATATGCAAGTTAGCTGCAGCTGAAGAGAATTTTCTTTAAAAAGTCCAAGAGAACCAAAGTATGAACTTGAGTATGTTGTTGTTGTTTTTAAGTACTGTGGAGTTGGTTCTGACTCATAGTGACCCTGCACAGGGTTTCCGAGGCTGTAAATCTTCACAGGAGCAGAAAGCCTCGTCTTTGTCCCATGGAACGGCTGCTAGTTTCGAACTGCCGACCTTGAGGTTAGCAGCCTGATTTGTAACCACTATGCTACCACAACTTGAGTATATCCCACCTGAATTTAGAGACCATTTCAATAGATTTGGCACACTGAACACTAATGACCAAGGGCCAAATGAATTGTAAGAAAACATAAAGGACAACATACATGAAAAAAAGCAAAAGGTGATTAAAAAATGGGGGAAAAGATCAACATACGAGGGGACTTCATAAATTCATGGAAAAATAAAATGAAAAGATAACAGAATTATTCCATGAACTTTTTGAAGCTCCATCATAGTTGTCAGACTAGACTCTAAACTTGGGTCTTGAAAGCAATGATGAAGTAAAAGAGTTGAATAGAAGATTTCAAAGGGTGGTTCAGGAAGATAAAGTATTATAACAAAATATGCAAAGATCTGGAGTTAGAAAACCAAAAAGGGAAGAGCACACTGATTATTTCTGAAGCTGAAAGAACTGAAGAAAAATTCATGCCCCGACTTACCATACCGAAGGATTCTATTGGTGTGGCACTTCAGATTAATGCGCTGGACTGCAAGGTTGGTTTGAAATTCAAGGTCGGCAGTTTAAGCTCACCAACTTGGAAACCCTATGTAGGACTGCTGTGGGTTGGAACCAACTTGACGGCATTTAACAACAACA